AAAATTACCAAAATGTGACACAGACACAAAGTGAGTAATTACTGTTGGAAAAATGGTACCAACAGACTTGCTTACTGCAGGGTTGTCATAAACCTTCAATTCATAAAAAACGCGATCATCTGTGAAGCACAACAAAGTAAAGAGCAATAAAACACGGTATGTCTATAGTTCCAGGGCAAAGATGAGACCAGACAAAGACTATTCAGAGGAGGAGAAGCAAGAGAGGTAATCATATGAGTCTAGGAAGGGACATACATCGAGAAACACTTGGAATTTGGTGCCAAGTCATGGCAGGCCAGTTAATGAGAAGACTGTAAAGTGGCTACTGGATTGGGAAACTGGGTAGTGGCTAATAAACATTTCACTGGAGTGGGTAAAGGATTGAATGGGTGGAAGAATAAAAGGAAAATGGGAAGAATAGACAGTGAGGGTAAATCAATGTGTTCAAAAAGTACAATAAAGAGAAGGAGCAAAAGACATCAGTAGCTTGACAGGCTGTCAGGTGGATAGAAGTATGCACATTTTGTGCATTATCTTTTTTTATATGACTTGTGTCTAGAGACTCTGAGAACAAGTACTGCCTTCAGTATTCTTACAGCATCTATCAGATTATATAATAAAAACAGTAGCACTACTAACTCCTTGTTTAGAATGCAACATATATTTCATTTACTTTGCTAAATTTTAACTAAATTCCTAGTGTAAAGAGAGTGCTAGACTGAACAAATTAGAGAATCATTAAATTTAAGTCATTTACCTGTATGGGGTGACTGCTTACAAGAGACCACACCCTGCTATGTAATTTGACAGGCTCTGTGAGCAATACTGGGGATGCTGAAAGATGTTACCTTAATTCCTTCACCCTGGGCTGCCCAAGGACATACTCACCTCCATAGTAGAGTCCTGTAGCAGTGCACATCCGCCACTGTCCCTGATACATTCCTGCTCTGCTGGGGCTGCACATCTGGACGCTGACATCTGCAATCTCTTGGGGCTCTAGCGATCTCACCATCACCATGTTCACATGTCCAAATTGGTCTCCCCCGACATATTTAAGACAAACCCCTGGAGGCCAGGCCTCTGCCCCTGAGTTCAAGCAAAAGAAAAAAATGTTAGGCAATCAGTGGTCCTATGCTGGGTGCAGTTCATTACAAAACTGTAGAAGAGGCCTCTTTGTCTCTCACACATACTTAAACCTATCCACATATCCTTGAGCTATATGACATCTTACACGACTGATCAGAATTATCAGAATCAACAACCTCTGACCAACAGTCTATCCCTAAGAGAAAGCACAAAAGGCAAAAGCAAAGCAGTTCCTCAAGAAGGTAGGTTTGAGGTGACCCCAGGGAAGGCCACATATCACACTGAATCTGTAGACTCTAAGAATGATGTCCGAAAAGAGTCATGGAAATGAAGCACAAGGCCTCATCTTTGGAGGACTGCTTTCTCCACTAAGAAGTTAACACATGTCCATTTTCACTCTAAATTTTTAAGCTGACATTCAAAGTAAACATATGTCTGACTGTCCCCAGTTTTTCCACTGAAGCAAGAGGATGAAATACATGAGTAATTTCTGTATTATTCTGATTTTAAAATTGCTTTTTCCCTGATCTATGACTTTTCTTCTGGAGTCCCTAACTATGAAAAGATCGAGGCTCAAGATACTCTGCAAATAAGACAGAGGAGTCAAGTGACGGTTTCATTTTCAGATTGAAATAGTAATCGGGAAAATATGAACAGTGGAGTGAACTCCCCTGATAACAGCACAATGACCCTAGGTCTGAGGGCTGATGACACCAGCCAGAGGTGCTTGTAGAAAGAAAAGAAATGGCAAGATAGAAAACTGGCTTTGGCAGAAATGTCTTTCCCTTCTTTGTAAGTGGTATGGACCTTCTTTGGTTGTATGCCTTACTAATTCAAATGCAAAATCTATACACTGACTTCTTCTGACCAGTCATAGTTGCCACACAGTGATTAAATGTGATCTTTCCTGTGAAGTCTCTCCTATATATATATACTCCTTCTTACTGTAGACAGAAACCTCTGCATCTTTTAAAACATATATTAATATACATTTATGTTATATATATTAATATATATAAATATAAACTCATTATAAAAATAATCACTATGAGGGGGAGGGTATAGCTCAAGTGGTAGAGCACGTGCTTAGCATACACAAGGTCCTGGGTTCAATCCCCAGTACCTCCTCTAAAATAAGTAAGTAAACCTAATTACCCCCTCAACAAAAAATAAAAAATAATAAATCACTATGAAAAGCTGGATACAGCAGGACTCTCAGGACACAGCATGCTTGAAACTTCTAACAGTACTCAAGGATACTTCAGCACCTTATTCTCGAAGTACCAGCTGGTTTTGATACACTCGATGGCTTACTACTGAAAAGAGAACCAGAGAGAAAAGCAACCAATGCTCTACTGCTGAGATCTCAGCCCCATAATGAACAGCATCTTCTGTGCCTCCTGGATCTTAGGGGTAGCAGATGAAGCAGTGGTCACTAAAAGTGCCCTCTTAAGTTAACACTATAAAATTCAACTGCTGCTGGTGGAAAGTTTGTGGATGATATACTAGCAATACAGGCAAATTCTGTTTTTCATTTCTGGGGCCTGTGGCCTGGCAAAAGCATCATTTGTCTTAGGTCAAGAACAGTACCAGCCGACATGAAGCACCTTAGAAAACATCAGTCTTTAAAGACTAAGATCCAAAAGGAAAATTAAACTACTGTTATAGAGCTGAATTCACAATTATCTTTAAAACATATACACATACATCTGTAACAAGACAATATCCATTTATATGAAAACCCAAGAATGTCTGTTTTTGAACTTTTAAGGAAACATGGAAAACCAAAACTGTCTTGAGTATGGAAATACTTGGCTGTCCTGGGCAGACAACCACAAGCAGCTGAGACAGTTGGATCTCTCACCAATGCAAAAGAGGGAGTACTGCTATATTCTCAGGAGACTGAGTTGGTAAATCATTAAATGATTAACAATTATGCAGCTACGGTCCTGATCTTTTTAGTATGTCAGACCCTACTGATGTGGTACTTGGAGAATCTTTTAAAGAAAGAAGTAGAAAAGTTATGCACCATCAACTCGAAAGTATTAATTTGCTATAAAATGAAGAACCAATCATCTGCCTTCTGAGAATTACCAACAGTTCGCTATAACATATAGTTCTTACAGCTCCAATTGTCAGCTCAGGCATCTCTGAGAAG